AAAGCTATCTGGTCAGACGCATAAACAATTTTCAACTTACGTTCAGCCGGGGCACTGGGTGTGGCACTTGAGACATAGGCAGGAACAGTGGGGCCTGCTGGTTTGGCAGGTGCAGGTGGGGGTGGTGGGGCAGCAACTGGTTCAGCTGCTGCTGCAGCTTTAGGTGCTGCTTTGGTCTTTGGAGCCTTGGGTATTTTAGGTGCTGCCTTGGTCTCTGGGGCCTTGGGTGGTTTGGTGCAGAATCCCCGGATACTTGGGCCCACTAGGACAGCCTCACTCTGCTTTACAGATGAATAACAAATGTCACACTTAGATGCAGGTTAAGAAACAATCATATTTTACATATCCAAATGTCCATACAAACAGAGATAAAATCAAATGAAGAGTGTTGAAATATAGTGAAGAGGTCATTGATTTAGGAGAGACATATCAACCTAATGACAGGGTTTTTCACATGCCATACTGAGCCGTGCACCAGGCGCCACTTTGCAATCTGCCTCTCAAGAAGAATTCTTCAGGAAATGTGGCTAAAACTACATTTTTGTAGTACACAACCTAAAACAGGCTCAACTGTATAGACACAAGCAATGCAGGAATTTGGCCTAGTTAGTCTTGACAATAACAGATGCTATATAGCACTAATGTCAACTTGGTCTAACATGAAATGCTACAAATACATTTGATGATCATTATCAAATCATTACATAACAGAAAGATGAAAACATAAGTACATCTTTTCTCATTTACACTAATCTATATATATGTAGAAGCAGGGGATATCAGAAATTCTACTTTATATTATCATCTTTATTCTACTTCTTCTGATGGAGATCTCAAAACAGATTTTTAATAATTACTAAATTAATTTTTCATTCTAGTAAGAATGTATAGAATATCAATGCTTTGATATAGAAAACATGCATATCATTCCATCTCCATACTATTAAGACCTACTCAGTGCCAGTGTACACATTAGGATTTATGTGCAGATCTTTGAACTTCAAACCCAATATCTATTGTTGTCAATTGGGGGATCATACCAATTGACCACCCTTTTGGCCCAATACTACAGGAACCTCAATATTTTTCTTACTTGCCCCAATTATAGGATGTATTACCTTTTAGAGAGTCAGCCATGAAGACTATTTCATCACATGCACATTGTGTCCCAAACCACATGTAACCATATTCTTTAAAAATTCAAAATCTATTTGTAACTTTTAACTGTGATTCTAACACCAGCGCTTGCTAGCAAATTCTGTTTCCAGCATATGATTTTTTCTGTACACTGGTGTACACAACACCAGAATTTTCTAAAATTACCACACGCATACACGGTTTACACTGAGCCAGTGTACCATATGCACACAAACAACAAATTCAAATGGTTAATCTTTACAGTACGGAAACACTAAGTTGGGACAAATTGAATATACTGCTCTTTTAGCAGATAAAAAGTTAAAGTTGTTCTTACAAGAAATAATTTGCAGACACAAATGGTAACACCGCAAATAAGGGAAAAAGATAGCAGAAAGTGTTGTTTACAGCCTAAGTTCACTCTGTGCTCTCAAGTTTCAGCTGAATATTGCCATGCATATGAGGTGAAGACAATGTTTCCTGGGGGTAGGGGGGGGGCATACTATAAAGTATTACCAAATAAAAAAACTTAAAAAGTTAAACAAGAATAATATAAATAAAAGGAAGATTAAATTGTTAATTTTTCGATTATAACAATCGGGACTTCCTAGACAATATTTATATCATCAGATTTATTCTCATGTGATGAGAATGAATCTGATGATCATTTCCATTGCAATCACAGCCGACGATCTTGACGTGTTAAGTCCCATTAGCAGGGAGGGCATGAAGTATATCTGGGAAATTATGGGGTAAAACAAGCTTAAATAAGAATAATAGCGAACAGAAACGTGTAAAACTAGCACAAAAAATGCTAAAAATCGGCCAATGAAACTCTACGGACATGTCCGTCACCTTTGAAAGTCTACGCACCGACGCGCCAGAGTTTGAAAAACTATACGGAAATCCAACCCATCTTTCGGTAAAATCTACATGATTTCACATCTTCCAGACCAAAAAAAACGTCATAACCAATAATCCAACCTAACCTAACAATTTACAGTGCCATGACTAGGCATGCCCGACTGCCCGAGGGAGGGTTGATGGGGGGCAAGCTTCCCAACACCCCCCAGGACACATTCTCTTCACCTCGGTATGTACGGCAAGATAGAGCTACATCCATAATGTAAACAATAAACCCAATACCTTTATATATCGAAAGACCGAACTGTCAATTTTCCTTCGCTTCTTTCAGTCGGTCTATTGTGAATCGTGGATTGCTTCGTTTTTATCGCTTTTTTTGGGATTTGGTGTACTTAATGGCCTCAGAAATCGAACTGCGATAGTTATTAAGGTCTTTTTCCTTTTCGTTTCCACTATATAGTCTTAAGAACAACTTAGAATCGACGTAACACCAAAATTG